TTAATATTCTTATAGACAACAGAACAGCCAAGGAGGCTAACACTATTTATATAATACAGGTTTTGTTTTTAAAATAATGAATCTGATGTTTATGTATGGTCAAATCACTTGTTAAATTCTTACAAGACCCTTAATCTGTGTTTTTAAATTGCATCCAACGATACCAGTGTTGTATACCAAACTATCACGGACAACTATATAAAGCAGTGGTTCTCAAACTTATTTGATCATGCCCCCCTTCTTTGTGTCTGTAGTTGCTTATGCCCCACCCGCTCCACAAGTACATATCCTGCCGCCCAGCTCTGAAGGCAGAGTGGAGTGCAGCGGCTGCTGGCTGGGTGCCCAGCTCTAAAGGCAATACCGAACCAGCAGCAGCGCAGAAGTAAGGGTGGCAATAGGGCGCTATTTAGCACTATGTACTTGTGGAGGGGGTGGGGCATAAGCAACTAACTATTTAACGCCCCATTGCCATCCTTACTTCTGCGCTGCTGCTGCCACTCTGGGGCTGACAGTTGGAGCTCTGGTGCTGCTGCTGCCGCCGCCTCCCAGGGAGAGATTGAAGGATGGGGGGATGGAGAGCCTGAGCCTGGGCTGCCTCCCGGAGAGCGATTGAGGGGGGATATTTCTATCATTTACAGTTTCTCTTTCTTTGCCATTTCTTTTCCATATTTGTGATCACCTGTATATTTTGTTTGCTAGTTTTTCATGTATTTACAGTACACTGATAACTCTGAAGAAAAGTAAAATATTAATATCCTTGTGGCATTTTCTCTTTCTTTAATGAAGATGATTTTGCATTTTTTTAAACATTTCTTCTGCTTTAGTATTATGTTTTGTATGTCACCAGTAGCTAAGAGAAACGTTCAGCATATTCTAGGTCATATTCTACTCCAAATTCCCACTGATGTCAACATAGATTAGTAGTAAAATATGGACCTCAAATTTAAAATATGCTTATGTTACATTAACTTTTAAACTAATTATATGCAAAAGGCCCCTCTAACCCTGACTGTTACTGCTGCATTTACAGAAATTATTTACAGGTCATATTTAAATTGATAATTTATTTTCCTGAAATTGATTAGTTGCAGCATGTGAATGTAATTTCAGTATAAAAGCAAGAAGACTGTTGTAGTAATAATTTGTTACCCGCAATAGATTTATATCCATGCCATCTGGAAATCAGGATTTGGAATACAGTTCATACCCAGACTTGTAACTCCCAGACAGAGCTTTGTGAAATTGTTTTCCCTTCTTCTTCCTGTAATAAATTGACACAATTTTTAAACAGTTAAAAAAAAAAAGAGAATATAGTATGTGCAGCATATAAATCCAGTGAGATCTCTTCTCACTGTGAAGCAGTTGAATGCTCAAGCTCTTTGTAAAATAGTGAACTGTGAATTTGTCTAGTACTATGAAATCCCCCTTATATTTACTATTTTCTACAAATTGAGAGCCTTTTTACTACAAATCTCCCATTACTTTTAAAAAAAAGATTACCTCAGAAGTGAAAAATTATTCCATACTGTCACTCCCATTGGCAGACATGCAAATAAGGGGAAAATTCATTGTTATTTTTAAGGTGTGACCATTGCAAAATAATGTGAAGTGTTTTGCAAGGGAACTTGGGAGAAATGCAGAATTTTTATGATCCCGTGATTAATTTTTTTTAATCTAATTTCATGAATCTTTAGATTTAATGAAATGTTATATATGAACTGTAGTTGATATGTATATGTGGATAGGTTGGGAAGAGAAAAAATAAAACATCAAATATTTCTTTGGGGACCTGGTTACCAGGCAAGCATTATATTTCCCCCAACAAACATTTGCAGAGCCTTTGTGCATGTGGGTCATAATGGGTGAAATTGACCTTTGAGCAGAGGGCCAGTGTATGACCTATGCACCTTATAAATAGAATTTATTTTAGGAAAGTTTTGCTATTGTGACAATTTTTATTGCTTGATTAAACCATGGAATCAGCTTGAAAATGCTCACCTAATCCACTAACTGAATTCCAGTTGACTACACAAGATGATGAATTTTTATACTTGTCTGTTATAACAATGAAAATAAATTAGGGATAAATATGACCTTTCCAAAACAAGCATTATACTAACCTACCAGCTGTCTTGCCCAACACCCCACCGAAGCAAAATCATGAGAGATCAGATGGGCTTTACAACATCCCTTGAAGCTCAGGAGACTTGATCACTGTTGAATTGAAGACATCAAGACTATTTTACCACCTGCCCCCAGATTTTTCTGTCTAGAGACTGTTAGACTTCACTACTATGTGGTATGTGTGGAAGGCAAGATGGCCTCCTGGCCAAATACCATTTAAACAAATACCTTCTCTTAGAGTTGAATATCACTTGATGTTTTTAGTTCAGTGCACATCCTGTTCCTACAAATTGTGTTCATTCGGTGGAGTTCCGGAGTCGACGGTAGTGCGTTCGGGGATTGATTTATCACATCTAGACAAGACACGATAAATCGATCCCCGATAGATCGATCGCTACCCGCCGATCCGGCGGGTAGTCTGGACGTACCCTTATTGGTATAACTGGAAATACTTACTAGTGTAAACAGGGTTTTATACCACACTATGTGTTGCATCAGTGTTATTCACTAGCAAACTGATTTATATCTGGATCCTGAGGCTAGTTTGCCTATGATGTAAATATCATAGTAGCTAGTTTTATTCTTGGAGTCTTTTCTCCCTCTTCCCAAAGCTAAAATGATTCAGTAGCATATTAAAAGAATGGATAAGGGATATTGAGAGGTCTGCTATACGTTAGATACAATAACTGAGGGAGAACTATATATACTGTCCTCATAACTGTTGTTGGAAGTTCATACTAGTGCCTCTACTCCAGGGGTTCTCAAACTGGGGGTCGGAACCCCTGAGGGGGTTGCAAGATTATTAAATGGGGGGTCGCGAGCTGTCAACCTCCACCCCAAACCCCACTTTGCCTCCAGCATTTATAATGGTGTTAAATATATAAAAATATGTTTTTAATTTATAAGGGGGGGGGTCGCACTCAGAGGCTTTCTATGTGAGAGGGTCACCAGTACAAAAATTCGAGAACCGCTGCACTCTCTTTAGTTATAAATAGGTTTATGGACCTACAAGCATATTTTATTTACAGCTAATTTTTTCTCTGTGCCTAAATTCCAGATCTGATGAGATGTACAGTTGAAGTACAGGTGTTGCGTGTCTTCCTGTGCATTCTGGGTTGGTAAGAGAATCTTTAACAGAAAAGAGATGATAGCATGCTCCCCAAGAACAAAACTTTAGCTTTGTGTACATTTGCTTAATCCGATTGTGTATATATTAAGGTTAAAGTTCTTCCCATCAAATATACCAAACAAAAGTCCCTATGACAAATAGCCTTTATGTGTCTAAACTTACTTTTGTCTTTGATTCCTTATTAGGCCTATTCTGTTATGATGATACACATTCCATTTTGGTTGAAATGTGGATATTTTGAGCTATTTATAGTCTGATCTTCCTTGTAGAAACATTCCTTGATCTCCCTCGACTAGCATTTGTGTCCTGCTGGTTATTGTTTTAGCCAATATTGTGGGGTCCATATTTAGACTAATTATAATTTATTTTTATTGAGATATTTGTTTATAACTTCACATCATAAATACAAAAACAATATAAATAAGTTTCTGGGGAAAACTACAGATGCTAAACATATTACTAACAATCCATAAACTTAAAAGTAAAAATTAAATAAGGTTCTCTGCAAAAGGAATATCTTTCACTTTTCATTTAAATGGAGTTTTATACATTAATTTTGAAAAACTTCTTGATTTATAAATAATTATAATAGGCACTACCACACGATGGAATCAAATAATTAGCTGAACAGATATGTAAAATCTAATTTATTAATGAATATATCTTAATATTTATTCAATTTATAGAATACCAGGTATGTATAAGAATAAGTGGTCATTAGCTCAATGAATCTTTTAATTAGAAATTACATTTTAAATGATAAATGATAGATGGAGAGAATATAAGCCACTCATTCACCAGTGTTAGAAATCACATGGAATTTATGAGGTAGTGGTATGTAGCCACAAATCTTTTATTTAATCTATAATTTTGTGTGTGCTCATTTCATTTTGACTGGTGGACCATGTCTTCTCACTGTCCATAGAAAGGATGTAGTTTTCTTTTCCAGAAGGTGGATATTTTGTAAAGTTGGAACTATGTTCTGAAAGTTAGACCAAGTCTGCTTAGATATATCACTTTGTTAGTGTTTATTTCTGATTTTTTTCTCAGAATTTATTTCTGAAGTTAAATGGGCGCGCATACCACTAGGACCCCATTTGCTATCAGGAATCTAGCTATTGGAAAAGTTAGAAAGCTGATGTATGGTAATGAGAAAATCATTTCTGCTGAAAAGGAGTTTGTTGTTAATTTCTGCTGGCTTCTAAACAATTCCAGAAGTGCTTACAAAAATCCAACAGATAATCTATGAATGACTGAATATATGCCATTTATTCATTATATATCAATCTGTAGTTCCCCACTAAAGACTGTGGTCCAATGTCTCCCTGTCAACAGGGCCGCCCAGAGGATTCAGGGGCATGGGGCAAAGCAATTTTGGGGGCCCCTTCCATAAAAAAAAATTGCAATACCATAGAATACTATATTCTCGTGGGGGGCCCTTTGGGGCCCAGGGTCTGGTGCAAATTGCCCCACTTGCACCCCCCCCCTCCCCCGGGCAGCCCTGCCTGTCAAAGTATTTCTAAGGCAGCTGTCACCATACTATTTTAATGCCACACAACAATTAAAATACATTAGAGAGAGTTGGGTGTAAACTCTGTTGTCCTTCCTCCCTTCTCTGATGGAGAGAACCCAGTGCTAGAAGGGAGAGTGTAAGGACGTTCAATCTTATTCCTCCTTCCACATATCTGTTCATACCAAGTCTCCAAAATTTTGCTGGAGATGCAAGCATTTGGCTTTTTGTCTCTAGGTCTTGAGCATCGAACTTTGAATCTGAAGCATTTTGAGCACTCTACTGCTGGTCCCATAAGGCAGCCCTTGTTGTGAAGGGAACTGATCTTTTCCCTGGGCTGCCATCTTTGCCAGGGGCTCTTATTTCTCCTCAGTGAGTGGGGGACCTGGCTGCAAGAGGTAAGTTCAGGGATGTGGGGATTGGGAAGTGGGTAGCTGGCATGGTAACCTCAGATGCTCCTCGCCCAAGCATCTGTGATAGATGAGTGTAATTCTGTGTGTCTATATTAATATACAAATCCTTTCTGTTTTGTGATCATTACTTTGATTGTAAAACTGCACTGTGCTTCACTTTGACATTGACATTGACGTCTTGAAACACCCAAGAGGTGTCAGGAGAAATTCTTGCATCTAGCACAGGGCTAACAATGGAGAGCAATCAAGAGTTGTCAGCCTGGATGGTCTTCCATTCAGATGGAAGTACCCTTGTTCAAGGAGCTGGCAGCAGCCCAGAGGAATCAGTTTTCCCAGTCTCATACTGCAGGTGGGCTGGAACTAACCAGCAAATCACCAGATGAGGACCTTGAAGCCACTCAGGAGGGAACTGGAACTTTATAAAATGGCAAATTCTGATCTGAGCAGTTTCTCTTGCTGGCCATCCTTGGGGAGACCAGAGCCAGAAGAGAAGACTGGGTAGGATGGGGTGCTCAAAAGAATCGTGGACCCCTTGGAAGGCACTAAGATCCAAAGGAGTCTCAGGAAGGGTGAGGAAGCTGAGGGCATGGTCTTGCACATAAGTATTCATTTTTCTGTAGATCTGAATAACTTTTGTGTTTTGTCTATGAGGAAAAAGGATGTAGTTTAGAAGTGCCTTTGTAAAATCTGTGTCCCTCTTGCTTTAACTGTCACAAAGTTTCTGAAGGGTGAAACAGTAATCAAGATTACATATGGGGGAAGGAGCTCTGGAGAGGATGAGAGAGAGCTATTAGGGAGAGTTGGAGGGTCTGCACTGGTCTTGAGGCTTAGGACAACTGGGCTGTGGGGGCCCCATTCCTAAGAAGGGATCGCATCATTGGAGTGTGTATGCCAGGAGTGCGTTTGAAAGGCCAGATATATAGCCAGTGTATGGATGCTGCTCACACTGTACATTTAAAAGGATGTGGAATCCAAGGTTTGGTCTAATACAGCAGGCTCCTGTCCCTCCGCAAGAGGAAATCAGCTGTGGCTACAGCTGCTGTGGTATCCTCCCCACCCCAGTACAGCTCTTCAGGCCTCCATGTCCCTACATCCAGTGGTTCCTCAACGCCTCAGATCAGTGCAATGAGTAAGCATGTGGGTGCCTGGGTGCAGTAAATTACATTGCTGGAGGGATGAGAGAGCCAAAGAGGGAAAGGTGGCTTGAGAAGTGTCCGGTCTGTTGTCATTTTTGGCATTGTTTGGTAAGTGAGGGCCAAACCTCTTTGTTAAGTTACTTGATTTAATTATCTCTTGTTAAGATAGGCAACGGATTCCAACAAAGCAAGATATTGTGCAGATGGTCCATAAATATATACTTCATATCAGACATATTAGAAGAGTCAAACAGCTGGTAAAACAAAAGGTTCTCACAAAACAAAGTTACAACATAACCAGATGAAGGAGTGGGCCTTCATAAAACCAGTCAGGGAAATCAACTATTCCTCTTGGGATGTTCCTTCTTATCATTCCATCTTCTCCTACTTCCATCCATGCTCCCTGTTGTTGATTGGTCCTGAGAGAAGCTGGTCCCCCTCAAAGAGGTAAGTTTACATTTAGACCAACCATGGTCAGGATCAGGTTTAGTCTGATGATCTATGGTAAGGTGTTCCATAGCTAAGCTCCTGCCCCTTGAAAATAGCCTGCCCTATTGACCAAAGAGTCCTGTCATAAATCAGTTTAGTTGCATCATCCCTGTGGACCATAGTTGTCTTTGTGGGATAATAGACTTTGAGAGAGCCTTGTGCTTTATGGACCTTTCAGGTGCAGACCAGGCCTTTAAATTCAATCTGGAAGTGATAGGCAGTAAGTGGAGTTTGTGGAGCACTAATGCAATATGTTCACAATGCAGTTTTGTTAAGTATATTGCATTAGCGGCAATTTATGGAAATTAGCTGCATTTAGCCACGGGTAGAACCTGTGCAGTTAGGCACATCATTAACTAGCATGAAAACGGACACATGTAAAGAATTGCTACATTGTTCATCAGCCTGCTTTTATTCAGAAAAGCTTGCTATATGAGGACCAAACTGTCCAAGTCTCTCTCTCGTCCTCCTTCCTTCAGTTTTTAAATGTGAAGTTAAGAGGATTTGAGTACTGTATAGAACTGGGCTGGTGCCCACATTCGCAGCAGAGTACACAGTTTTTATTTCCCTCTAGACCCTCATCTCTATTTCAAAGGCCGATAAAGGGATTTATGGATTTCTTGACACTTTGTTTTCACAAATTGTTTAAAAGTAATGCAAAGGCCCACCCTGAAAAAAGCTGTGCAATGCAAGAGGGCTAGAATCTTTTTGAAGTTGGATTAGCTGTTAGCTAGGCAGGGAGTACCTTTTAAATTATAATTGTATAAACTCAGAGTCTTGGAAAATTGGGCTGATTTTTGTCTTTATTTTGGATTTTACAGGATTAGCTAAACTGTGGAAATTTATGTGAGCATGAGTTATATTCTTCTGAAAATCTGTTAAATTTATATTAATAAGGATAACTCTTCTTTGCTTTTATGTAAAAAAAAAATACATGTTTGTGTTTGGGAACTACACAGACAGTTAGCTTCTTTGAAAGTATTTTAATCTGTATTAATCCTGTGTAACAACAGTTCAGAAATACCACTGTTATCTTTATGCACCATTCAGAAATGATATACAGGAAATTTCTCCCTATTTAATTGGCTTTTTAAGAAAATTTCAGTATAAGCATAAAGAATAGCTGATGGTGATTTTTTTAAATGAATCAGGGATAGCATAATCTGCATAATCTATGTTATGTATATGAGATATTTTCCCCCCGTCCGGAGTACACATAATTAAAAAAAATAAAACAAAGCTACTATTTGAAAATTTTACATTTTTTTTTAAAGTATGCTTTTCTGAAAAAGGAATGGCATAAAATAGTTAGTGTTCACACATTGGTTGGTTCTTGGTTAATCAGTAAAATCACCTCTTGCTTCCTTTGTGTGAAAGAATTGTCTTGTTTCACAGCCTTTCCTTTGAAGTATGTACAATGAGACAATAGGTATTAGCCAGGAGACACTGGACTTCATCAATTAACACATAGTACACAGAACTGTAGTTTAACCATTTATTACTTTTTTGTTTTGTAACGTATTTAAACAGAACAAGGAAATATTTGTTTTAAGTTTCTTGCACTAGTTTGTTGTCAAATAGATTCTAATAATTTGTGGTTTTTAATTATTTGTGTGCTTTATCGGGTTCTGGGTGTGGTGTATCAGGTGTGCAGGTGTAATATGTGCAAAGTGAAGACAATGAAAAAGCTAATGGGGGTAGGGGAAAGCTGGAAAATGAACCCCCAAAATGTCTTGATTCTATTTATATGGATAATTACTGTACATATGGCAAATATAAATGCAGCAGAGATGTTTGCAGATTATCTTTCTGAATAAATGTTAATGTATTAAAGCCTCTGAGCATTCTTACAGGGAAGCTGTGTACCAGGGTAGTTTGGCAAACCCCTTGGATCAAAAGAGTCAAGACAGAGAGCTATTAAGTATATGTCCAGCATTCAGTGCCAGAATTTAATAACTTAATTATACCCAAATGACACTCTGCCATCTCACTTGGTATTGGCCCTTACACATTCATCATCTGTTTCATAATGTGAAGGAGAGTCAGAAAACACAGACCTAAGTAAGGGTGAGGAAAAGAAAAGTACTAATCAAAAACACACTTTTTTTCAGTCTGTGATGCATACTTTTGTGATACAAGCTGACTTATTTCAGGATACAATCCCAGAGGTGGTTCAAGCTTTAATACTGAAGGTCTGCTTTTACAGTAGGAGCAGGTGGCACAACAGAAAACAGATTCTGCTGTTAGAAGTGAGAGGATCAGAAAGCACTTGTCAAAACTCAGTGCTGTGGTTTAAAACCACTTAGAAAACATTCCTAGCTTTTATTAGGTATTTACAGTATTTCACTGTGTTTAATATTTACAAGAATACTTTTAACCTGCAGTTCTGTTTTTAGCTTTGATTTTTTTTTTCTTTCAAACTGGACAAAAAAAATATAAAAAGCTACAAGTAGCCAATCAGTTATTGCATGTTAAATGAAAATTGTATGGTGAAAGCACTTCATCACTGAAAGGCTCACATGAACTTTTAAACAATGTTTTGCCTCTTTTAACTAATCAAAACTATATAAATAACAGAGGCACTATTTTATAGATCAGTATTGATCCAGCCTAACAGTTTCCATAAATCTCATATTTACACACAATCAGGCTAAACAAGCGTTGATAATTGCAGTGGTGCACTGAATGAGATGGCAGACTAGTTTGCATTCTCCACAGAATATGAAGACAAGGAGCATTTGGTTTAAGTCATGCAACATATGTAACTGAAGTGTCTCATTCTGAAGTCTGTGTATAAATAAACAGCCATATTGTATACCGTATATACTCGTTCAGAAGCCGAATGTTTTTAGTAAAAAAGGGAAGCACCAGAGAAGGGGGGGGGGTCGGCTTATGAACGGGTATAGAGAGCGAGAGGTGGGACACAGCCCCTCCTCCCCAACAGAGGAAGCAAGGAGAGGCAGCACAGCCAGCGGAGCCAGAAGGGAAGAGGCGGGGCCAGAGTCTCTCCGCTTCTGGCCACGCTGCTCTTCCCCCAGCCTCCGAAGCTGCTGCAGCTCCGGGGCTGGCAGGCTGCAGCCCTGTCACTCGGCCCCGCCCCCCAGAGCAGGCTGTGGCCATGCCGCCTGGCCCACCGGAGCACGCTGCGGCCGTGCTGCCCGGCCCAGCCCGCTGGAACCTGCTGCGGCTGCGCTGCCCAGTCTGGCCCGCTGGAGCAGGCTGCGCCACACTGCCCAGCCTGCCGGAGCAGCTCCAGCCAGGCCAGAGACGCCCTCCCCAGATAAGGTGGGAAGTGATGGGATGGGGAGAGTGTGGGGGTCCCGGGCTAGGGGTGGGGTCATGT